CCACTTTGTTGTGGTTTACTTCATTGTTCATAGGAGTGAAGGCACCCAAGTGACCTAAGCTCCGAACTCTTTTCCCTGAGCCTTCATTTCATTGACCTGTTGGTCATAGAAGAAGGCCCGGATTTCGTCGTATGAACGACCAGCCAAAGAGTTGAGCCGATCGTCCGGCTTTTTGGTTTCTAATTGGCGCGCCTGGCGCCCTTGGTTATTTTTTTGTTGAGCGGCCTGCGCTCCTTTTCTGCAGTCTTGGGACATGTGTCCCTCTTGGCCGCAATTATAGCAGTTCCCTTGGAATCTGCACATCTGTCCTCCTTGGACCGCGCCAATATCCATAGGGGCTCCCTGCCCTGGTTGCAGCCCGAACGGCTTGAACCCGTGAGAATGGTTTTGATGGTTTGATGACCCAGGGTGCCTCTGGGATATGTTGTTTTTGGTGGTGGACCCGCCACCTTGGTGCATAGCGTAGAGCTCCATGGCCCTACCGACTCGTCGGACTTCCTCGGCTGCCAGAGCCAGGTCGTCACTTCTTGTATCCTGCAGGTAGATCTGCTCTGCAATGCGAGGGTTCACATTGCGTTCCAGCAGTTCTACTGCGTGTTCGTTACCTAACCCTCCTTGGATGGAGAGGGCCAGGAACCAGGTGACATAATCATCCGTCCTCATGTTTCCTTGTTTGAAGGAACGGATTTGCTGACGCGCCCAGTCTCGCTCAGCTTGCGGTTTGAAATATTTTTTGATCTCTTTCTTGAGATCGTCCCAGGTAGGCCACACACCCGCGGTGTAGCATTCCTGGAGTCTTACTTGGGCGTATCGACCCGCCACAGGTCCTTTTAGGCGAGATAGCACCGCAGTGGCTACCTCAAAATCGTCAGCGAAAGCGTCCCAGTTCGCCTTGACCCAAATCTGGAGCTTGATCCACCATTCGGCAAATCGCGCTCTGTCTCCTTCGAAGGCGCCAGGGTCAGCGACGACTTCGACTTTCTTGTTAAACTTTTTCTCTACCGAGGGGGTTGCTACAGGGGGGTTGGCCTGTATCTCGGCGAGCTGCGAGATTAATTCTGCTATCTGCACACGCATTGCGTGCAGTAGCGCATTCATATCTTGCGACGACATGTCGACTTGTTCTCTTTGTAAAGTAAAAAAAGATAACTGGGGGTCCCCGCTTGCTGTCTGCGGATATACCTCTTCCCAGCTGAGTATCGGATCTCAATCTCCGACTACCCACACTATAGTATTTGAAAATTTATATAAAAGTTATAGTATTAAACCCTGGTCCGAACGGTTGTCAGGGGGTGGTCCGCTTGTTAAGCTGTCAACCCTTCTCCAGACTGGCAGAGGCAAGTGCCCAGCCTGGTCAGAGGTAAGAGAAAGTGAAGTTTTGTATGTAAATTCTAATCAACAGCGGTTCCACACTGACTGCTGAGCTAAGTACTCCCCTTAACGCTGGGGGCCGCATATCAAAGGTTTTGGTTCTTCTCCCAAAGCACTACAAGGCCGTTGCGAAGAGCACACCTATCTGCTATGTGGGATATTCCCAACTAATAACCAAATCTCCTTCACCCTGGAGTCCGGGTGCCCAGTGGGACTTTTTGCACAATGTGCGAGAGAGTAGAAAGAGCGAGTCCTAATGTAACAACCAAGAGTTAGTTACTCTGGCACACTCAGAACACACTATAAGGAAGAAGATGAGGGAGTGGTTACCCCTTGAGCTGCAGAGAGTTTGTTGGTATACAACAGGAGGACTTGCTGAGGAGTCTCCTGGATCTATTGAGGTATATATACTACTACAGGGTTGTTTGTACATGTGTACTATACAGTTGATAGAGACAGTGGCTGATGATGTCATGGGGCCTAGCCCGCATGGCCAGCTCCACTGTGTGAGAGAGTTGTGTCTAAAATAGGAAGAAAGGCAATGTGGCGCGAGAAAGAGGAGTTTTTGGATAAAAAGGGGAAGTGCCACGTGGCGCCATGTGTGAAGGCTAAAGTACAAGGTTAAAGCGGAGAATAAAAGTAAAGGGAAGGTCCAAAAATTGTGTTATCGTAACAGATCTCTAATAAATGTAATGTAACATACCTCAGCCGCTGCCCAAGAGGCTATAGAAACAACTGAGGTATTCCTATACTAAACCCCCTACTACTTATAGTCGGAGGTGCTACTCACTACAGTATAATGTGAAGCCACCCACAGCTACTACCCACACCACAACACGATCCCCCAGTAACCGTAGAAAACATCTACGACGAGAACGACTTTGAAGAGTTTGCAGCAGGTGGCGACCTGGTACCACCTCCCACTCCACAGATACTCCCTGCCGCACCTGCTCCATCCCATATCCCACCACCACACACCATGTCTAATGCTGCAGCCCCCAAACCCACGATGATCGGGAAAATCGATGACTTTGATGGAACCCCAGATAATGCCCAAAGGTGGATATTGTCCACCGATCTACACTTTGATATCAACGACACCATCTACAACTCCGACAAGAAAAAGGTATATGTGGCCCTCAGCTACATGAAGGATGGCAACGCCCTGCGTAGTACTGTAGCCAACGTGTTCTGGCTTTGTAGAAAGTGTCTGCTTGTTCTCTGGTGTGGAGTCGGGTTACGTCTGGTTGGGGAAAGGGAGGTGGTGCTGCTATCCTTTCTTGTTGGGATGACGTCGGTGGGGTTGCTGTTTGTGGGTTGTCTGAGCTTCCTCTTGCTCTCTGGGATCTGGTTGTTGGTCGTTGCGACGTCTTGTCGACTTTTTCTTCCCAAACCTAAATAGGTGGGACTTCTGATTAGAATACAATTCTTTTGTTACGCACGAAGTGCTTAACAAAGTCTGAGGGTTTGTCGAGGTTTGTAAAGAGACTTATCCGAAGACAAGTTCAAGAACGTAGTTCTGAGTGGAGGTTTTCCAATGGGAGTTAGTCTTCTTCTGAATAGAAGTCTGATCTTAGGAGTCTAGCTTTGTAAGCGTAAACTGCGTAGAATTGTATTAGAGAATACTACTGCTGTTACATGGTATTTATAATGGAAAGGAATCAGTGATAGGAGTTAGGTCCGTCTGTTGAGGACTAAGTACTATAATAGGTACTATGAATGCGAGAGGAACAGAAGTGTACGTGAAGGAAATGAGTCATCGGTCCGATGGTATAACCGATGAGTAAAAAGAAATGAGTAGTCCTTAAATGTCCAATAGAGATCGTAACAGGTTCATGAAGAAACATCTGATACAGAGGAGACATTCTTTGCTGGAATAGCAAGTACCGGTCCATCTAACACAGACCTTCCAAGGACACTAAAGGAAGCCTTATCACGTCCGGATGGAGAATTATGGAAGTCTGCCTTGGAGGAGGAACTCCTAAGTCTCAATACTAATACAGTGTATGACACTGTTCCACTTCCGAAGGGAGTAAAACCCATCACATCAAAACCTGTGTTCCGGATCAAGTTTGATCAAAACGGAAACATTGAGAGATACAAACTCCAGATTGTTGCACAAGGTTTTACTCAAAGGGAAGGGATTGATTACCAGGAGGTTTTTGCTCCAGTTGCAAACTTAGAGTCAATCCGAATTATTCTAGCCCTGGCAGCAAAGTACGACCTAGAACTTGATCAAATAGACGTATCCACAGCTTATCTCAATGGAGAACTTGAAGAAGAACTGTACATGCTTCCTCCAGGGGGTGTTCCTATCCAACCTGGATACTGCTGGAGATTGAAGAAATCCATCTACGGGTTAAAACAAGCTGGTCGTACATGGAACAAAACTTTTGATCACAAACTCCAGGAGCTCAGTTTTACAAGACTAAATGCAGAAACATGTCTCTATGTATTCCGGGACAATAAACAAATATGCTTTGTTGTTGTCTATGTAGATGACCTCCTCCTAGGAGCTTCATCCCGAAAATTCATGGATATCACAAAAGCCAAACTCGAATCCATATTCAAAATGCGGGACCTTGGAGAAGCAAAATACTTTCTTGGAATAGAAATCCAATGTGATTGTTCAAACAAAACAATCTCTCTATTGCAATGCCAATACATTGACACAGTCCTGGAGCGTACTGGAATGAAGAACTGCAAACCAGTATGGACACCAATGGCCCATGGATCAAAACTCCTTGCAAATGCTCCAGGGGAAGATATTGTGCAACACGAGATGCATATTGAAGGGCGTCAAGTGTCATACCTCTCAATTGTAGGCTTCCTCATGTATGCCATGCTCGGAACCCACCCAAACATTGCCTACATTGTTGGAATACTAAGCAGGCATAGCTCAGCTCCAGGGAGCCATCACTGGGAAGCTGCAAAATGTGTCCTCCAATATCTGAAAGCAACCAGGGACATGGAACTACAATATGATGGCACAGATGTCTCCATGGACATGGATTTCTATGGATATTCAGATGCAGATTGGTCTGGAGACCCAGACACGTCTTGATCAACATCAGGGTTTGTCTTTATCACCATCCGAGGAGCAATCTCCTGGACAAGCAAAAGACAAAGCATGGTAGCTTTATCCTCCACGGAGTCAGAGTACATTGGATTGAGCAATGCTGGACAACACCTTGCATGGCTTCAGACATTTTTTTAAGAAATTGGGCATGCTCAAAATGGACCTACAACATTGCACTGTGACAATCAAGCAGCTATCATTCTTACACGAGATCCACAGTTCCATGCTCGCACAAAACACATTCAACGGAAATATCATTTTATCCGAGATGACTTAGTATCAAAGGGAGAGGCAGTAATCAGATACGTTCCTACAGGAGATATGGTTGCAGACATTCTCACTAAACCCCTCACTAATGAAAAACACTGGAAATTCTCTAAAGCTATGGGACTACGGTTGCACTTGAGTGGGAGTGACAAAACCGGATAAACCCGGTCTCTGCCAAAGCAGCCATTGTTCTCCATGGAGCATAGCCACTACTCCATGGAGTAACCATTGTTCTCCTAGGAATACAATTGTACTCCTAGCCGCCTCATGGAGCGAAGCTAAGATGACCAAATACAAAGAGAAGAATGCCTACCCCACATGGGCAGACTTCATGAAAACCTTCACAGCCAGTTTCAGAACGGCAAACGTCAAAGGAACGGCCTCGGCCGCCTTGATGAAAATGAAGATGGAACAAGGAGAAAATGCAGTAGCATTTAACTCAAGGTTCATGCTAGATGCTGGGAAAAGCGGCATCAACAACGAAGCCATGATCATGGTCTATCAAAAGGCTATCCGGCCACCCCTCCTTTGTGGGGCACTCACCGGAAAGGAACTACTCACCATCGAAGACTGGATGAGCACAGTAGCGAACCTAGACGCTAACTGGATCAGTGCCAATGCTATCTCGGAAGGAGCATGGGGCGCCAGAAACAGAGAAAGACAGAACGACAGAAACCGCAAAAGTGGACCATCCACCAGCACCAGAAGATTAACCAAAGACGAAGAAGAATCAAGGAGGAAAGAGGGAAGATACTTCATATGTAATGAGAAAGGACACATAGGAAGGAATTGTAGGAACAAAGGAAAGACTCCCGAAAGAAAGGTACGTCAAACCGAAACGGAAGATGACACCAAAACAGTGGTAGAAGAAGACAGGGTCCAAAACATCATGAGAATGTGGAGAGAGTTAGGAGAAGATCAACGAACAGAGGCAATGAAAGAATTGGAAGACGAGGGTTTTTAAAACAACGGACTACCCCGATGTTAGTACCATCAAAAATGGCAACTGTAACAATAGCAACAATCAATGCCAACTCTTTACGAATCGATTGCTCGTTGAAACAGAAAACCATCGGAACCAAAGCCCTGATAGATTCAGGAGCTACAGACGACTTCATGGACACCAAATTCGCCATCAGACACCGACTCCCCCTCCAAAAACTCCCAACTCCTATAACATGTAAAAATGTTGACGGAACCACAAACAAAAACGGAAAAATTACGCATTGCACCTATCAGAGGATAGATGCAGGAGGACAAAACAGGTTCACAAAGTTCCTATTGACCGGACTAGACGGAAAAAACGTATTACTGGGATTTCCCTGGTTACGAAAAGTCAATCCCGTCATTAACTGGAAAGACAAGGAATTACCAAACTCGGACAAACATCCCATCAGGATGAACCAAACAACCACAGAAACAAAAATCAGGACAACCGCAGTAAACGAAGACGTGTATGAAACCATTCATAGATACATATCCGACCAAACACCCTATCCTCTAACCACAATTCGATTAAAGGTCAACTCGGCAATGGAACACGCGCAAATACACGGAGAAAAGAAGGAGCATAACCTCCCGGATGAATATAAAGGGTATTCGGACGTCTTTGACAAAAAGAAGTCGGAAAGACTCCCCAAGCGACGGGAATATGATCATGCAATCAACATGAAACCAGAATTTGTACCAACAGATTGCAAGTTATACCCATTGGCACCAAAGGAAGACGAAGCATTAACAGAGTTCTTAATGGAAAACTACAGAAAAGGATACATCAGGCCGAGCAAGTCGCCACAGGTGTCCCCTTCCTTCTTCATCGGCAAGAAGGATGGATCACTCCGACCGTGCCAAGATTTCAGAAAACTGAACGCATATACCGTGAAAAACCCCTATCCACTACCCCTGATACCCGACCTCATCGAAAAATTGAAAGGAGCCACCATCTTTACGAAACTAGATCTACGTTGGGGATACAACAACGTAAGGATAAAAGAAGGAGACAGATGGAAAGCTGCGTTTAAAACCAGCAAGGGAGTGTTCGAACCAACGGTCATGTTTTTCAGCATGTGCAATTCACCGGCAACATTCCAAAGGCTGATGAACAACAAATTCAAAGACTACATCGATGAAGGTTGGATGATCATATACATGGATGACATCCTCATCTTTGACACGAACATCGAAAGACTCCGAATCCGAACAAAACAGGTTCTACAAAGACTACACGATAACGACCTATTCCTAAAACTAGAAAAATGCACCTTCGAAGCGGAAACCATTGAATACTTAGGAATGATTGTTTCCCACAATCAGGTATCGATGGATCCAGCCAAACTCGCTGGGATCCGCGATTGGCCAATCCCGAAAGACACCAAAGGCGTAAGGAAGTTCTTAGGTTACGGAAACTTCTACAGGAAGTTTATCGGTCATTACTCTGACCTTGCCAGACCCTTGAATGCCTTACTAGAAAAGGATAGGAAGTGGAACTGGACCCAAACTGAAGACGACGCTTTCAAATTGATGAAACAAAAATTCCTTGAATCCCCCGTAACACAAATTCCCGACTCCTCGAAACCGTCAAGGATTGCTGCAGACGCCAGCAAACACACCACAGGAGCTGTATTAATGCAACCCGATGACCAAGGACAATGGCACCCATGTGCATTTTTCTCCAAAACTCTATCCCCCACTGAAAAGAACTACCAGATCTACGACAAAGAGTTATTAGCGGTAATGAGAGCTTTAAAAGAGTGGAAACACTTACTTTTGGGAAGCCCCCACATGATCCAAATCCTGACAGATCACAAGAATCTGACGTACTGGCAAGAAGCCAGGAAACTCACACCACAACATAGAAGATGGCAGCTGGAACTGTCACGATACAATTACACCTTGGAGCACGTACCAGGAACCCACATGGTGGTACCTGACACACTCTCAAGAAGACCTGATTTATACGTGGAAACAGAAGGAGATGACAATGACAATGACACGCCAATGATACCCGCCTCAGCGTTCCTGTATCACACACGAACGATTAAAAACACAGTCGAGCAAGCCATGCTCACAAATGATAATTATCCAGGAAGAACGAAGAAAGACGATTGGAGAAAAGAAGAAGGACAGTTCTTTTATCAAAATAAATTACTGATTGACGAAGTAGAACAACAAAAGACGATCATCAAAGATCACCACGATTCCCTGTCCGCAGGACACCCAGGTAGGCTCAAAACCTACCAGTTGATCAAAAAGGCCTATTGGTGGCCAGGAATGATGAAACAAGTGGAAGAATACATAAAAGGATGCGCAATTTGTCAACAAGCAAAAGTAAACACACATCCCACCACCGTACCATTAATCCCAAACCAGACCCCAAAAACCGCAGAACCAATGAAGTACCTATCCGTAGACTTCATAACTGATTTACCAGAATCTTCAGGATACGACAGTATAATGGTCGTGGTAGACCAAGGACTTAGTAAGGGGGTAATCCTATCACCTTGTCATAAAACCATTGACGCACTCAAAACCGCACGGATCTTTCACGATTCCATCTTCAAACGATTCAGATTGCACGATAAACTCATATCCGACAGGGGACCACAGTTCGCCTCTGAAGTATCCAGAGAACTCCACAAACTCCTGAACATTGAAACCGCACTCTCCTCTGCGTACCATCCCCAGACGGATGGACAAACAGAACGATCCAATCAAGAACTGGAGATCTACCTCCGCATATTTTGCCAGAACCAACCACACAGCTGGGCAAAATACCTTACTACCGCTGAATTCTGTCACAACCAAAGACCACACTCCACAAACAACCAATCACCATTCTACCTCCTTATGGGATATGAACCCCGAGGAATCCCGACTAAACACAGATCCACGAATATCCGAACTGCTTAGGGCAAGGGAAAACGCCCTAAAAGCACACAAACTTGCAAGAAGCAAGATGATGAAACGAAACAATGGAAAGTTCACGCGATTCTCCGAAGGACAAAAGGTGTGGTTAGAGAACACCAACCTGCTAGAAAAAGCCACCGAATACAAGAAGTTCAACATGAAACGCATCGGACCTTTCCACATCCAAGAAAAGATTTCCCCAGTGAACTACCGACTATCCCTGCCTCCCCATTGGAAGATACACAATGTTTTCCACGCATCCCTTCTCACGCCATATACGGAAACCAACACTCACGGCCCGAACTTTATCCGACCACCACCTGACCTGGTCAACGAAGAAGAGGAATACAAAGTAGAAAGTATTCTTAGACACAAACCCTGGAAACGCGGGCGCCGCTACCTGATTAAATGGCGCCATTACCCTCATTCCGAAAACTCGTGGGAACCGGAAGAACATTTAACCAATGCTGCGGAGATATTGGAAGCCTATAAGAAGGACCACAAGCTGCGTTGAAGAGACAATCACCCCACTACCAACAATCCTCTGTCTCTCAACACAAAACATGTCTACTTCTAACTCCACCGGCTTCCCTATCACCACCTACTCGATACCTGGCGACGCCAACTTGCTAGCCGACGAATGAGTGTCTTTTGCCCGTGGGCAACAACACAACCAAGCCGACGTCACTGACGCCATAGAATTAATGTCAGCAAAAGACGCCTATACCTATCTCTTTTATGAGACCGAAAAACGCTGCCCCCATGCGTATCACGCTCTTTCTTCCATGCATACCTTCCTTGCCATAGACCTCATAGCTGATGAACTCCTAAAAGCCATAGACTCAATACATTTGTTGGAAAGCGAGCATTCGTGGCTCAACAGTCAGGACTTGAGTATCTGTCGGGCACTCCGGATGGAAAAGTTAGTTTTGGAATCTTTGGAACAACGCTTGAGGATGAGCTCCTTGAATGGGCAGATGGACTCGGCAAAGGAATATTTGGAATCAGGCGGGAGGACATTGCTAAACGAAGCTCGCACGCGGATAGAGCAAGACGGTTGTACGAGTACTCCTCCACCCGGTTTGTCCCTCCAGTCCCTGTCACACCCAGACCAGACCAGTGTTACCCCGGAGCGCACTTACCACATCATCACCCGTCGACCTATGCCCATCCCGTCGGAGGAAAAATATATTCCCACCGTCCCAACCAGCCCGATCTCACAAGAGTCGAGCCACTCCAGTCCCCGTTCCATTGGGCCGAACCCAAAACCACCGTCTCCCCCATCATCTCCACCTTGACCAGTGCCAAATGCCCAAACCTGTTGCCTGACGAACTGACGAGGAGCCCGACATGGCCGGCAAGAGGTGATACTCCAGATCCCCACCGCCAGAACTCCATCAAAACGGCAGTCTTGTATGTCAAAGGGACAGAAAGACAGTCCGCCTGGCGCAATGCACAGGCCTGAGACTGGCTCTCCCTCTAACCCAATCAACGTAGATGACGATGCAGCCATGATCAATCAGTTGTACGCAGGAACGTACGACCTGGGAGATGACAATCCAACCACTCCCCAATCCAACACCTCATCCAACACCCGACGAAGATACCATGAAGGTGTTCGTAACAACGCTCCATACTGCCAAAACTGCGGTTGGAGCGATCATCGCACATACTATTGCGAAGCCTACTATTGCCCCGACTGTGACCGTCGTGCACCGGGACATAGTTTCAATTGGTGTCCCATCCGCAGGGAAGATGAGGATAGGATTCTGATGGAAGGATTACATGGAGATGTCAGCTACGACAACAGTTACAATATGGACGGCAAAGGTACCGAATTTCGGTGAAACTGGGAGCAAGTAAGGGGGTAATGTTACGATCTCTATTGGACATTTAAGGACTACTCATTTCTTTTTACTCATCGGTTATACCATCGGACCGATGACTCATTTCCTTCACGTACACTTCTGTTCCTCTCGCATTCATAGTACCTATTATAGTACTTAGTCCTCAACAGATGGACCTGCCCTAGATAGGACCTAACTCCTATCACCAATT